CAGACAGTCAGACACACACAAGGGCAGGGACATACAAATGCAAGGCATGAAACATTATCAAAATACCAATCAATGAAAACAAATTAATAAAATAATACCATTAGAGAATTGATGAATGACATCAGAACTGTCAATGAGTGGCTGCCAATGCCTACATTGATGGACATTTGAGCGGCTTCGGTAGATTTCTGAATTTCCTTAGTGATCGTGACCTATCAAAGAATAATTCATGGAATTTGGATCCAACACACACTACCTGTCCATTAAGTGCCCTGGAGTGGCTGTTTGTTTGGAGGATCTGATGACAAGAATGAAGTAACAGGATGTAAAAGTATTGCTTACCAGAGGGAAAGAGCTGGAGAGTGGGTCAGCAATTTCCAATGATTTAATCCTACAGTGGTAAAGAAAATAAACCCCTTAGATGATAATACATGCCTACATTAATAGATACTACATGTGCATACATGTATTATGCTATCACTTACAGGAAGCCAATTTTAATGTATTTGTGGTCCAGCCCCAAGGAAGACTCTAGGCTAGTTAGTTTAATGGAGACAATCTCAGTCTGTTTAGAGTCACTCTCCACAGATAGACCCAGTGATCCGATACTCATTCTAAAGTTAAGCTTGAAATCAGATGGAGAGTCCCCATCACTCCCTGATGATGATGATGATGATGATGAGGGATCAGCTGTTGGCCCTGTCTTACTCAATGACTTAACATTCCTGGTATCAGCTGACTCTTCATTACTAGATGATGAAGGCAATTCTTTGAGCAAATTAAACACTTCGTTATAATCTCCAGGATTAAATGATACACCAATGCTGTCAATGTTAAACTCAATCCCTACATTAGGTATGTCTGTATTAAGGGCCTCCAATGTCCTGATGATTCCTCCTTTAAGTGTTACTGGGGATATGATGGTGTGGGACCCTTTACCAAAACGTCTCACAACTTGCAAATCTTTCAGCGACAGACTCATTACGTCCACTAGCTCATCTCCTGTATTGCTGTAGTGCTTGAGGGCTGGCTCAAACCTTAGAAAAACAGAACCAGACAATGTTACAATAGTTCTTGGAGGACTATTATAGATACTGATTTCATGTCATTGACTTTATTAAGCTGTCAACATGACCCATTATTAGTGCATATGTTCACATGAGCATCACAATTCATGCATTCTTGTATTTATAAGTTATCAATATCCTAAAGTAATTACGTGTACATTCAAATGCCTGATAATGACAATAATTATTGAATTGGCAAATTTTCAGTGCCATACGTAATAATTAACATTGAAATAGTCTGTAACCCTGTACATGTATGTACATGTGCATGTACATTTAGGCTAACTGTTGACATTCCATAATAGCCAAATGGCATTATTTGCTAATGTGAGAAGTAAGTACAATTATGACTGTGCATACTTGTTTGATAATTGAAGAATGCCAAGATCGACCATGAAGCTAGCACCTGACGTCAGTAAGAGGCTGACCACTGGAGCATCAACTGTTATATTTAGTTTAATACGCTTAGATCTGGCCTTCTTTGCCTGGAAAGAAAAGACAAAATGAGAATGAAGAAAGAAAAGGATTAAAAGGAGAGAGAGAGAGAGAGAGAGAGAGAGAGAGAGGACAAAAAAGAACAGATTCCATCAAACTATGTCACTCTCTTACTGTTTCAATAGCTTTCTTAGCTTGTTCATTCGTGGCTTCCTTGGCTGATTCAACCAGCTCCTTCTTAACATTCATGGACTTAACAAATGATAGCAACCTCTTGATGAACGTGAACATAACTGCAGCCTGTATCCTGTTGACAGTAGCCATCACTTCAATGTCAGCATTATCAGCCGAAGGAACTTTATAAATTTGAAGACCAAAATCAATCAAAGGATCAGCAACAGTACTAATGACCTAAAGGATATTTAAATAATTTAGCTTAGTAATAATAAAATGTAAATAAAATAATATGGGATACATTTATTAGATTGTACACTTGAACAGAATGGTATAGTTTTAAAAAATTTAAGTACCAGTATTCTCCAAGCTGCCTTAAAGATAATGTACATGTACTTGTAAGTTCAAAGTTATAAAAATACTAAGAAACCCTAAATTTTCGTCTCTGACTCAAAATTTTTATCTTGGTAGTTGGTACCATACATATAATTCAAAGCACATGTACATGTATAGGATTCATGTACACTTTACAACAAGTAAAAACTATAATATTTTTAAAGGGATAGCGCAAAGTACATGTACTGTACATAATCAAATAACATAATGTTATTATGACTCAAGCAATAATTACAAACCTCATTTCAAAAGCCTAAACTAATTCTACGATACCAGTACATGCACGAGCACCACTAACAGTCAAAACACACAGTGTGTATGTACACATGTACAATGTACCTAAAACCATGCAGTCATTGATTAGCCTACACAAGCCCTAGCTGGCACGTAAACAGGTTTCATTTCATACTTGATTGTCTGCTTCTGACGTAAACATACCAACACACAAATTGGTGACCTGAATTACATGTGCACGTACATGCATTTGCAACTAAACAGAATGCTTGCTATTTCAAGTGGCTATGGTTACCAATTATTATTACAATATGATCTAACCATCAATGACAAACAGGGTATCAATTAGGAAGCATATAATGTGATTCAATAGTAAATAATACATACCTGAGTGCTGGTGGTTGTATCAGTCAACGTGAGGTTACTCAAACTATAGTGAGAGGTGTTGTCAAACAAGTGGACATTCCATTATTAATAGAGTTACCTTGTTTTGATGCTAGTACCATTCTCAGGCTTAATAACGACATCACTGGCCAGAGGGCCCATTTCCCCTTCAGCAATGACACCAGCAGCATCTGTTAATAGGAGTTTTACTCCTTTACATTTTACGGATACGTCTAAAGTCTTTTCTTCTGGGAATGATGATAGTGCTGACGATGATGATGATGATGATGGTGAAACTGAATCAGTTGTATCAGATACTTTACTAGTACTAGCAGGGGTTGGAGGAGATTTGGATCTACGCAACATAACAATTAATAATTCGACTGCAAATATATACACGTAAATGTACATGTAATATTACATTTCTTAGCTGTACCATACATGTATTTACATCGCAAAAATTAATTTGTGATTTAATACTTTGGCAATTCTTCTAAACACAACTATGTACACGCACTCACGATAATGTTTACATATGCACAAAAATCACTTAAAATTCGCTGTTTAATTAGTACATATATGCACATGAATGCAAGCGATAAAATCATAGTAATAATTACATCCTTATTATTCTGGGAAAAAATTCAGTTGGAGGATGTACCACACAATTAATTACGCATGTAACATTACATATGCTCAAATTGTGATTAATTGCTATTACTTCATGACAGAAGTGATGTCGTCTACCATCAACAGTAAATGAGATATTGAGCCAGTGGCTGCTTCAAGGGAAAGAGTGTTTACTGCGAGGTCCATCTTCAATCCAGTGGAATTGTACTTTGTATTGAAATAAGGACCAGATCTACTTGCCTATAAAAGAGAAAGATACAATACAGTGTATGCAGTTTTAAAGATATTACATATACATGTGTACCTTGCACATGTACATATACATGTATATGTAATATGCATATACATGTACATGTACATGTACATGTATATGTAATATGTACATGTACATGTACATGTAGCTCAATAAGGGTATGAGGTTTGTCTATATGAAAAGAGAAATAAATGAGACACAGAGAGAGTGACAAAGACAAAAAAATATTGATTATAGGCATAATTGTAGGTATATACATATACATACATGTACATGTACCAGTATGCCTACATGTACATGTACATGTAATGTGGGAGAATTATTGAATATTTTTATAACAAGATATAAATCAATAAAAAGGATGAGTAAATTCTTAATTATTGAAAGACCAGCTGTACAAACTTAATGCATAACCAAACATTCTCTGTCACTAAGCAACAGGAAAGATGGGCAAAAAATGCTACATTCTGAGATAAACAATATAATTGTACTTCAAAACTGGTTAGTCTCCTAGCTTAATTTACTTTGTCTACATTTTTTCTCTTTCCTTCAATAAACCAAAAGCAAGAGGCCAACTACATTAGTACATGTACATGTACATGTATCTCTTTATGAAGTACAACAAGTACATGTACTGTACATGTATGTGCAAGTATAATATTATTATACATGTACATGTATACTATTATGTTCTATTATTTTCCTATCTATTTTTAACTCAGACACTCATACATGTAACATGTAGTATGCATACTATATTTGTATTTTTGTAAATAGTTTAGTATTAACATGTAAAAAAAATACCTACATGTACATTGTACATGTACATGTAACTATCAGACTCTCGACACAATGGCTACATGTACATGTACATGTAGCTATAGCACACTACATTCATTGGATGAAAAAAATCACTCTAATATACATGTACATGTACATCAGTACATGTAACATACCTAATATCACATTACTATACATGCATAATTGTACATGTACATGTACTATACTACACATTCGCAAACATTGTACATTATAATTTGCTATTAATAAGCCCCAGTAGCCTTAAAAAGCAGATACACAATTAAAACTAAAGTGCCATGTAACCCTATCTACATGTACATGTGTATAACCTTGTTTACAATCAGTTATCAAAAGAACTACTGAAGTGGCTGCTTCAATGATATTTAATTTCCGCACAAACGGATAAAGCTTCAGGCCTTGTAAACAAGTCTTGGAGAGACACAAATAAAGTGAATTAAAGGAAGAGTATACACTGAACCCAGTCCAAAGTGCCCACAAGAAAGGGAACCCTTTGATGATCATGCTTATAGATGTATCGTTTATCTACAATCTCTGCTGCATAATACCGTAGCTAAAATAAACAATTACTGCTCAAATGTATTATAATAATGTAATAATAATAGAATAATAATAATAATCTTATGAGTATATGTACATGTACACATGGTATGCTTATGATATAAAAGTGACTGCAAGGTTATTTTTCTAATTACAATTTTGCACTTTTCATGTTACAAAAACTTAATACAAGGAATTGAGAAATTTAAATGGTTGACACTTTAGTCCAAAAAAATAATTCCAAGAAAATAAACTACACATACATGTACATGAACATGTATTACAATACATGAATACATGTACTTCTTGTAAGCCTCAATGCACATGTATGTACATGTGCATGTACATGTACATGTGTGATAATGTACAAGTGACTGCAAGGTGTTTTTTCTAATTAAAATTTTGCACTTTTCATGTTACAAAAAAATTAATACATGTACAGGGAATTGAGAGATTTAAATGGTTGACAATTTAACTTTTATCAGTCCAAAAATCAATTCCAAGAAAATAAAGAGCTACATGTATACACATACATGTACATGTATTACAGAATTTACAGTACATGAATACTTCATGTAAGCCTAAATGCACATGTACATGTACATGTACAGTACACATAGCTAAACAAAATAATGGGCTTCCTTTAAAAATTTGAAGAATACTACTACATACATGTTTATATATGTAGTTATTGACCCAATACCATATACAGTAGAGGAATGACATGCTACTCACCCAAAGCATCTCAATCACTACCACAATAATAAATTAATATGACTATTATGTACTAGTGCAATGTTGATATCTACAAATTGCACACTAATTGAATTAGAAGCCAACTGTGTCAATAGTTATACAATACAATTATCGGATAATTAGGACTGACATTACAAACATGTCTAGGGAGGGGCAGGCTCCCAGACAGCAGGCGATCAAGTGCATATACATATACATGTACATGTACATGTACTTTTAACGAGTTCTAAATTACCCAGTACCTGGGTATGCATATATTAATTATATTAGTTACATGTACATGTGCTGTACATGCATGGTAAAGGTAAAACATGCCTAAAATAACTCTTAATTATTATAATTGATGAATATTTAATTTTCAATGAAACACGTGAATGTATATCATTACATGTACATGCACATGCACATGTATAATTACATAACGTACATGTACTGTATGTGTGGATAATGTGCATTATACATTTGACACATGTTAAAAATGTTCTGAGATATGGCTGCAGCAATCAAAATCAATCAAACACACCTGCAGCACGTATGTGGATAAGGGACAACATACATGTACATGTGGATGTATGTAAAAGTGACAGCTATTGTATCAATTTTTAAACATAGTACATGTATATAAAACAAGTTTCTTCATTACAAAATAATGACATATATGTATAACTATCACTTTACTAAATTTTGACAACAGAGCTGACAATTACATGTACATGTACCTCTTTACAAACAAAGTTCACATAAGCTAAATAGGTCATAATAACCCCACACAAACAATTAAAAAATAATTAAAAATTATTAACTTCGTCTACATATTGACCTGAAGTAAATCCATTACAATCAGTTTCTCATTCCCAACAGTTGACAACACATTAACAGTCACTACATTACAATTACATGTACCTCTTCACAAACCAAATTCACATAGGCTAAATACATGTAGGTCATAATGACTACATGAATCATTAAAATCAGAAAAAAATTAACTTCATCTGCTTACTGACCTGCAGTAAATCCACTACAATCAGTTTCTCATTCCCAACAGTTGATAACACATTAACAGTCCTCTCCTCACTGATCTTATGCACAACATCAATTGAAGCTAAACTCAATGAGACACTGTTACTATGAGACTCTACTCTAGCATTAACAGACAGCTCAGGCAATGAGAGCCTTAGACTACTCCCTTTAGTATCATCAGTGACTCCAACTGAGAGGAGAGGGAGGGAGAAATGGACCTGTACTTTAGTGGTGGTTCTTGGTGAGGCTAGAGACACACTGGCAGAGGATGAAAGGCTCTTTTCATCTTTCCCATCGCATTCTTCATCCGAGCCTTCACTAGCAGTCACAAATTCATCTTCTTCACCTGTAAAATAAATACAATGTACATTAATTACATAAAATTACAATAAATGAAATTTATACACTTTTGACACATGCACCATTAAAAAATTAAAATTGAGATACCAAATGCTGATGTGCATGTACATGTACATGCACAAACAATAAATTCACCTTAGCCATGAACACATGCAATACAATTATTTTTAAAATCTAGTTTTTAAGTGATGTACATGTACATTGTACACGTATACATACACATACATGTAAAGGCTTACTGCCTTCATTCTTTTGAAGTATTGTACATGTACATGTACATGTAGTACATGCTTACTGCTTTCATTCTTAGCTTTCTTTATTTCAGTAACTCTGTCGGCAGTTTCAACAATAGTATCAGTACTTAATGCAATGGGTTCATCAAAGGTCTCATAGGCTTCAGGGGCTGAGGGAAGATCAGTGTCATTCGATAATTGAGGGAGTGGGAAATTTTGAAATAAAATCAAAGCATCTTTAATCTTCTGTACACTAACTCCAACCTCAATGCCACTAGTCATATTACAGTCAACCTTTAGGCTATTAAGGAATAGATGAAGAGATGAATGAATTAAGATACTCTTATGTGTCTTACCCAGGCAGTCTGGTATCATCAGGAATGATGCTCTTCTGAAGCTGAAGATCAACTTCCAACGGCTTTAATATAGTGTGACTAGTATCTCTCCAATCTACATACATGTGTATTAAATTAATGTACATAAAAATTAATATGTTATTCAATATTGTACTATTATGGATGGCTATTTTTTAGAGACTATTGTCTTAATTTTTTAATGGCTCCAAATCACCCCAATTTTTGTATCGTATTTTCTGATTGAATGCACATGTATACCTTTTCCAGTCAATCGAGCTTGCACACCCTCCAATTTAACATCAAAATAATCGTAAGCATTATCATCTAGTTCCTTCTGAGATGCTTTCTACAAGAAAAAGTAACAATGAAGAAGAGGTGATATAGAAAATAATAATAAAAGAACATTAATATTGATGAAGAGAGAGAGTGAGAGAGTGAGAGAGAGTCACAATATAGAATGAAAAGGGTGACATTCTCTTACCCTTAGATCAGGTAGAACAGGCTTCATATCACTAGTCAGTGTCAAACTCCCCAGATCAACAACCAATATCCTACTAGCGCCATCCAGTACCCCAGCCTCAGGTAATAACACAACAGGAGAATGAAGCACCACATTGATATCAAGTATCTTCCTATTCTCTATAGCATGCTGGAGCCCAATACGACCCTGGGTCTTAACCTGATCCAGGGCCACAGCTGCTAGTGACGACGTCTTATGCAAACGAACTGAAGGAGGTAGCTTGAACATTTCTAAGACTTTTTGTATAGTGTGACAGTTATACGTGACTTGTACTGGTTGGAGTGATACATTGACGCTGTGATCAACCACTGGTTTGGCTAATGGGTTCATCTCGTATTTCAATGATAACAATTGGTCTGTGGATGTTTGTTTGTGTGTGTTCAGGCGTGTCAAGAAAAAAATGTTGTAAGATAATAGATAAAAGGCACATGTGATGGGGTTAACTGATGGAATGACGAGAAGATTTTCTGTGTATAAACATGATAGGAAAAAGGGAAGGGAGAGGCTCTTAAAAATTAAGAATAATTACGTATACATGTACATGTATATTTACAGTATATACATGTATATATAATAAAATAGTATTTTAACAGACCTGCTAATATATGCGTACATGTACATTATAATAACGTAAGCACTGTTGTACGCATATACTGTAATATACATGTACATGTATTGTATGTTTAGAACAAGGGCATTTTCTAGAATTCTACAATACAGGTAGAAAAGAAAATAACATGTACATGTACATGTATAATACATGTAATGTTCTCACTGTGCACATGTAAATCCATATTGCATGTATTCATAAGAATTATACATGTATATGTACAGGTACAAATGTACACATGTACATACATCGATGCATACGTACCTTTCTTAAGAGATGAGAGGATAACTGGATGTGATCCATCCAATGATGCACCAGTCATTGATAACTGGTTAACTCCAACAGAAACACTAGAACAATTAATAATAATTTTAAAATTATAAAAATAGGGAATTTTTTCCTAGGCACTTCTGACAAAATTTGGCCATAGACAAAAGCTATAGCTTTTGATTGTTGGCCCAGTATTTAATCAACTTCAAAAATTCATAAAAAATCCAAATTTGATTGGAATCAGCTCAAAGTTATGATATGCAACATACAATGTAAGTACATGTGTATATTTATCAAAAATTATAAAAAAGAAGATTTCTCTTTTTTTGATTTGTCAAGGTCTTTGGGCCAAATTTTGACCAACTTGACAATACACTGACAAGAAACTACATGTACATAAGTACAACAAGTATGTCAAAATCCTATGGGAAACATTGACATGTACAATGTATGTACTGTGCATGTAAAATACATTGATGTACATGTACATGTACATGTGTAGCATGCATGCATCCGTGCAGTGTACAATGTTTACTATACATTCACATGGACTGTTGTATATTTACTATATTCAGTACTAATTGTCTCATTATATGCATGCATGCATTCATATTAAACAATATATACATGTACATGTACATGTATGTCCGTTACGCATGCATGTACATGTACAAATAAATTTTAAAAATACAGTACATATACTGGTATATGTATACCTGATATTCTTGGATGATGGCCTGTTTTGAAACTGACAGTTAATATCACTGATGGATAGCTGGCTTATGCTGTGTGGAAAATTGAGTAACATAATAATCAATGTTAAGATACATTGTACCTCACACCCTCCGATTGAAGATTGAGTGACACAGACAATACATCCAAATTGACAACATGAGCTACATACTGTTGGAGTAAAATATAGATACACAACATATAAATGAGAAATTTTAATGCATATTAAAGGGACACGTTCATGGAATAGATGCACACGTTACTGTAGAGGAAGTAAACATTAAATTGGGCGTGCAACAGATCATTAATTAATAGTTATGACACGTGTTTAGACACGCGTAGAGAGTAGAGACAGAGCAATCAGTCATAGAACCAGGAGTAGGCATCTGTAGAACACTTCTCTCGAACAGAATTAGCTCTTTTGCCACCCCAAGATATTCTTTTTAGTGAAGAAACACCAGGAATATTTACAAGTAGCCACTCGAGTAGCCATTTTGTCTTAATTATTAGGGGCGCGGCCGCACGTTATGAATAGTTATCAACACTACACGTCATCATTAATGATGTCATCTTGAAAAACGGGCCAGTTTTTCAAGATGACATGCTTCCGTGCATGTGTCCCTTTAAATGTGCATACAAATAGATTGTATAGAAAACCACATTGGATTCTTTTTCTTACTTCTTTAGGATAATCTGCTGCTTTTCCTTTCTCACTATAACCAATAGCCTGGTACAACTTCTCCTTCTCTAGCTTCAATGCCTCCTCTGTATAATGAAGAGATTATCATGGAAAAGTCTTCAATAATAAGGTCTTTGTTCATTACCAGAAGGCATGACTTGTTTCTTTTCTTTCTCTCCCCCACCAACCCAGCTTGATGCCCAGTTGTACCATGAAGCTTCATCCTTTCTCTTCTTTATATCAGCAGCCTATGAGCAAATATATGTATACATACATGTGTCATGACTATTATAAAAAAGAAATGTATTGCTACCGATGCTCATCAAATATTTTCTACAAAAATTGTATCAAAAAGCTTGTACTCTATTGTGATTTTTATTGCATTTGTGTGTGCAAAATACATACATGTGTATCTGTATGCATAAATTACATACATAGGTATGTACATGTATTAACTCAGTAACTTACTGATTTCTCAGCTTTTTGTCTACAGACAGTAATATTGAACACATCAAGTATATCTTCAATATCCTACACCAGTAGCACAATGTAAAGGTAAACAAAGCACCATTAATACATGTAGCTTTGGGTATTTTTCAAAAATTTGGCATTTTCTTAAGATGGCCATAACTTGAAAAATTGAAGTCGGAATCAGCTCAAACTTTCTACACAGCATAAGGACATCAATATGTATCAAAAAATGTAATAAAAATTTGGGGTGATTTCGGAGCCATTTTTTAGAAAATACCATGGGCATAGCCTTGGGTATTTTTCAAAAATTTGGCATTTTCTTAAGATGGCCATACATGTACATGTAGCTTGAAAAATTGAAGTTGGAATCAGCTTAAACTTTCTACATAGCATAAGGACATCAATGTGTATCAAAAAATTTAATAAAAATTTTTGGTGATTTCGGAGCCATTTTATGGAAAATACCATGGGCTATAGCCTTGGGTATTTTTTTAAAATTTGGCATTTTTTAAGATGGCCGTAACTCAAAAAATTGAAGCCGGAATCAGCTCAAACTTTCTACACAGCATAAGGACATTAATGTGTATCAAAAAATGTAATAAAAATTTGGGGTGATTTCGAAGCCACTTTTTTGAAAATACCATGGGCTATAGCCTTGGGTATTTTTCAAAAATTTGGCGTTTTCTTAAGATAGCCATAACTTGAAAAATTAAAGTCCGAATGAGCTCAAACTTTCTACACAGCATAAGAACATCAATATGTATCAGAAAATGTAATAAAAATTTGGGATGATTTTGGAGCCATTTTTTGGAAAATACCATGGGCTATACATGTACAATGTAAACGGTATTATTACCAGGAGCTTAGCAACAAGAGGAGCACCAGGAGAACTTGATGAAAGCTTCTCAGCATAAAGCTTAGTGTACTTTTTACACAATTCCCTACAAAACAAGAATATCAAATTAACATAACATTTACATGTACATGTATGCACTCAATTTTTAAAAGAATTGTTGCTATTTTTTCAAATTATCGCCTTGTGTCTGTACCTCTCTTAGCAGTCAGTTACCTGTGTGCTTTGATATGTTCCCATTTCATGCTTAGCTTCCTACTCACTACCTCACCAACAACAGCATTGTATGCAAATATCCACCTACACCAACCAATAACACACACACAATTAATAAGAATAAGAATATTAAATACAATTAATGTACATTGTACAT